TAAGTTTTTCTTCTTGTTTAAAGCTAAAACTTTAAATCAACAAGTTGCTGTAGGCTGGAAAGCAGGAGAGTCCTGTTTTTGTTTTTTTCCCTGAGTATCCATCCAGTAGACATCAAGCAATGGCAGCCGCGCACTGTTAGTCTGTCATCTCTCGTGTGTGCTTCTCCAGCCAATGCAGGACAATAACTTACTTTGTAAGATGCCTCAGGGACTTTATCAATTTTAGTTTCAAAAGTGTAATAAAAGATTTTTAGCTTTTGAAGAGCTGATTATGTCTACATTTAAAATATCTAATAATTTTTAAACAATTATTTACTCAAAATAATGTTGCAAACTGTCACAATAAAATTACTAGAAAATATTTTTCTGCCTAAATTGCAATAAAACAAATTATTAACATCTATAAAACTGAAGGAATGATAGCTTTTGTCATATTTTTCATTTCTTATGGACAGCTTTCCCTTCTTATTGGGAGTAGATTTCTCCTTTTCATGAGTAAGTGACTTCTTTGGAATATTAGTGTCATCCTTTTCTCCAGCTTTAGAAACAGACTGTGTAAGGATGGTGGAGAAAGTGAGGCTGTCAATCTTCTCCATCTCTGACAAATGTCTCCCCTACACAGGAAAAAGAATGTATTACAGATATGTTTCTTTTATTTCAGGGAAAATATTACTGAATTTCATAATATTTAGAAAATTAGAAAAAATTTTAAAATATTTTTACATATATATATATAGTTATAAAATAAGACAGAAAAATGTCCTAAATCTAGTTGTGCTTTCATGTATGTCTGAGACATAATTCTAGATTTCATAATAACAATGTCTTGGACAAAAATGAGGTTATAGAGATTAGAGCAGGGAAAATTGAAGCAAGCCAGTAATGTCCAGTAAAATTATTGAGAATAAACTGGATTAATCTCTGAAAATGTATATCATTTATACCCTAAATCCACTACCTTAGAATATTCTTAGAAACACAAATATTTTAGTAACCATAATAGTGATGATGTCATCAAATAGCATGTAGGATCTGGAAACTCTGTCATACATTTTCATTTAAGAGCTGAAGCTGATGGGATCTTCTGTGGTGGACCATGGAAGAGAGGAAGAGGGAGTAGAGAATTGTTTCAAGTAATTTTTATGAGCTCAGGCTTCAAGTGAATTTCAGCCATTTTGTCCACATTTCACTGGGCAGAACTCGGTCACACAGCGACCCCTACCTGTCAGGGAGGGTGGGGGATGTGGTCAGCGGGTGCCCTCAGAAAGAAAGAGCTTGGGTTTGATTTATTAGAGATTAGTCCCTATCTAATTTGATAATTTACTGTGGGAGCCTCTGAATTGGAAAGGTATAGTTATATGTGTTGCAAATACGTCAACCGTATAAGAAAATCAACCTGGTATAAAGTAACTGTATTTTTTATATACACAGAGAAATTTGTTAAACTCAATAATATTTATGGTGCTCCCACTAGGTGCAAGTGGTATTCTAGGTCTTGGAGAGAGGGGAGCAGTAGACAAAAGTCCCTTATAGAATGTGCTTCCTTATAGTGTGATGGGAGTCGATGGCCAATAGGAAAGTAAACCAATAGGAAAACATGAGTGGATTTTGATAAAAGAAACCATGAAGGAAGAAAAGAAAGTGAGAGGTAGTGTTACTTTATAGAGGCTCATGCAGGAAGGTCTTTTTGAGAAGACAGTACTCCAGTCATGAGCTGAAGAAGGAGTAAGATCCAGCCATACAAAGACCTGTGGGGAGGGCAGCGCAGACGGAGCATCAAGTTCTGAGCGCTGAGGGGGCAGCCTCACGTGCGGAGGGCCGGGAAGGCTCCGTTTGTTTTGGGAGGAGACAGAAAAGTCGGGAGCCTGTGGTACATTGGGCCAGGGCGACAGGGGCAAGAACACACAGAGAATCACAGTCTTTAAAAAGAGCTGTGGTTTTATTCAACCAGCAATGAAAAGCCAGGTGAGTAATACAATTTGATTTATATTTTTAAAAGTGTATTAGAGGTGCCTAGTGGAGAACAGCTTTGGGGAGATCTGGAGTAGAAGGTGGCTACTATCTCCACCTACTCCATCTCCACTGTGCTGCTGCGGAATCATTTCCGTCATTGCCCCCGAACAACCTGGGGCAAAAAAAAAAAAAAAAAAAATCTTAGCGTTCTTAAATCCAGTGTAAGCTGCTTTAAAAAAAATATTGTGTTGTTTATTTTCTATTTTGCAGGTCATTGCGGCCATGATATTCCTGGTGGCTTATTCAAATGGGAGCACGGAAACAATCTTTCTTTAAGTTTTTTTCTCCCTCCCTCCCCCCCTTTTCTTAACCATCAGTGCTCTCACCATTAATACAAAGACAAAAATAAATTTTCAACTCCCAGAACTGGCATTTCTCTCAACATTGTGTAGCACGAGTTATAAAAATGACAAATGTTAGCCTTCAAACCAGAAAATGAAATACCATCTACGTCGGCAAGAATCATAGGAACAGCCATGCCAGGCTGAAACACTCAAATCTATAATGACTATTATTAAACGTTATGCAAAATAGTGAAAGGGACATAATGAATCATGAAGAATCTGGATAACTGAGGTGGGCAAGCTTGATGTAAAAGTAAAGGAAAATATGGGGTCTCTTCAATACCAATAAGACTACTTAGTGGTGACAACCAGTCTGCGTAATTCTGTACAAAACATAGTTCTTTTATTGTGCACAGTAGGTATTAAATACACATTTTTTGAGGGGCACCTGGGTAGCTCAGTCGGTTAAGCATCCGACTCTTGATTTCTCTTCAGGGGTCGTGATATGAAGCCCCACGTCGGGCTCCATGCTCAGCAGGGAGTCTGCTTGAGATTCTCTCTCTCTCTCTCTCTCTCAAATAAATAATTTATATATATATACACACAAATATCACACACTTCTTTGAAAGAATAACCAAATATCCATTAATTTAGATGAAGGCAAACACATCTGCTTGGGGTATCCTGATCCAAATTAACTATGTTGTCCTCATTTCTGCATCTTTCATGGAAATTGCACCAGGTCCTTCCTCCATTCCTTCCTTCCCTCCCTCCCTCCTTCCCTTCCTCCCTCCTTTCCTTCCTTCCTTCCGAAAGGTAAAAGAACTGTTTTCAAAATAATTATACAAAGGAATTCGGGGGCGCCTGGGTGGTTCAGTCAGTTGAGCATCTGCCTTCGGCTCCGGTCATGACCCCGGGGTCCTGGGATCGAGCCCCGCATTGGGCTCCCTGCTCCGCGGGAAGCCTGCTTCTCCCTCTGCCCCTCCCCCTGCTTGTGTTCCCTCTCTCACCTTGTGTTCCCTCTCTCGCCGTATCTCTCTGTCAAATAAATAAATAAAATCTTTAAAAAAATTATACAAAGGATTTGTATCTTGATTCAAAATATATTACCACATTATAATTGTGTTCTATAATAAAGTGAGTCTAAATAGTTGACATAACTAAATTGTAGCCTGGCTGATCCAGGCCTTTCAATTTCAGTGTATCAGTACGCATTATGGTTTAAGAAAATTAGGAAAAAAAAAAAATGTAATGAAAATAAGTACAGTGATACAGTCAGCCTGAAGCCACAGGCTTAGCGTCCCCAGGCACACAGACATATAAAGGAGAACACTTGGATACACACCGACATCTACACACACACAGTCTTGATATCCATAAATAATTGCCTCCTGAGAGTGCTACCCTTTCATATTTCAGCCCTAGACTCTTGTTGATCAGTGTCTCTCAATGTATTTCTAACTTTATAAGGTTTTTAATTTATAGCCGATACCTTAGTAGTAAAAAGAAATTAAGTTTCACAGTTACCTTTTAAATCAGATGCCAGGTGTCTCCAAGAAAAACCATAACCATTAATGCCTTTATCCATAAGTAAAAGAAAATCCAATTCAAAGTAACTGAAATTATAAGGACGTACATTGTTTCAAAAAGCAAAAGGGGGAGGAAGTGTGACTACAGGGTAGTTGGATATAGTGCCCCAGTGATGTTCGTAAGGATTCGTGTTCTACAGGTTTCTGTTCTCTCACCCTTGAGAGTTAGTGTCTCCTCATGTTAGCACCTGTCAACATCATAAGCTGACCACTGTGCACAATCCCAAAGGGACCCCATACAAACCAGATCACAGTGTGAGCCAGAAAACTATATATGCCTTGTTTCTTTTTATTTTTGAAGAAAGCTTTCTCAGAAGTCCTCCAGCTGGCTCACCATTACATTTCACTGGTTGCAAACCTATCTCAAAGTCAGTTTCAGGAAGTGGAAACAAGCCCACCATTTTGGCTTCTAACACTTAGGACACTTCTGAGGCTCATGATAAATCAAGCTTCCTCCAAGTACGTGAGCAGAGGAGGACACATACCTGGACCTGGGATGGGGTGAGGGGAAAGCCAGGGAGGGAGCTGGCGTTGAGAGGACACCGCCAATACTGAGGAATACTTTGGAAGCTAGCATGGAATAAAAAGTTAAGGAAAAAGTCTGCTGGAAATAGGACAGTGCATTCTGCTGGGGGAAAGAGGCCCTCGGTTTCACAGCTGAAATCTGTACTTTCAGTATTTCAGTGGCAAAGAAAATGGTGTTTCAACAATTTACAGAATCTGTTAAATCAGACAAGATGATTCTATGCGTCGTAGATGGAAATACACTCAAAACTTGACTTACCTGTGGATACATTTTATAAAACCATCTAGTGTCCGATTATGGATTTAGAGATAATGAGTAATATTTTTATTTGATGCATAGATGAAGAATGGTATTGGAAGGTTTTTAAAAATGGCTTCTTTTGTAGTGATAAAAACGCTGTGGTAATAATTCTGTTTTATAAATTAACATTTCAGTCTTAACATTATCATACAGTTTTTTATTTAACCACTTAATTTCCCTTAATATATTTTTTGGCAGATTCCTGAATAATTTAATGGTATATTACTCACCATCATTTTAAGGAATAAATGCAGAATAAGACTAATTATCTTTTTCTCGATTTTTAAGATCCCGACTTTAAGGACCTTGGAGTTTTGAAACCGTTACCAGGTTGGTAAAATAGATACTCAATAATGTTCAGAGGTCTTTGTTTTCTGCTCTGAAATACACTTTTGGTTTATTATTCAAGCTCCATTTTTGTATGTTTGTTTGGCATTTTGTTATTTAGCATGTGAGTTTGAGATGGGCGGTCCTGAAGGAATTGTGGAATCTATACAAATTATGAAAGAAGGCAAAGCTTCTGCTAGCGAGGCTGTGGATTGCAAGTGGTACATCCGGGCACCTCCACGATCCAAGGTCAGTCTTAAGGTGAAAACAGATTTGAAAACAGTCAGCTCGGAAGTGTCTGGAGCATGCACTGCTTTGAACCAACTGGACATGTTAAGTGGGTTTCAGAGCGCAATCATAAGCTCTCATTTTATTTTGGTTTGAAACGCAACTTGTCTTGCCCCAACCAAGGAAATTTTTGATGTTGTAAATAATATGGAGAGGGTGCTTTAAAGAGATCATTTGATCATCTGGACAAGAGACCCTAATGTGACTACCACCCCCCCGCCCCGCCCCTCAGGAAAATGGATTGAAATGGTATATCTAAGCTATGCGTCTAAGTATAATCACACTTACGCCCTTCCTGTTAGTATCTGTAGTTTGCTCGCTTTTCAACCTAATGTTGTATCTTTGGAAGAAATTGTCCAGGCCTTGCAAAAGCACATATCTCTGGCATATAAAATATTTTATGATAAGGCTGGGGGGCAGTGGCAAACAGGACCTGGGAAAGCCTGGCCCGTGCAAAGAAGCCGGCCAGCTGTCCACTGCCTCTTAAGCTCCTTTTTATTGTTGTTATGAAAAAGTATTGGTCTAACATTACCAAGTCCTCCAATTTTCTCATAACATGGAAGAAGTCAGGATTTTATGTTGATCACCTTGGTTTTTAAATACTGGCAATACATTTTTTAAATTGTAAATTTACATGCTATTAAACTAAATATATTATGGGTCAGATTCAGAGTCAGACCACTATTTTGGAAATACTTCCTTAAAACAACCATATTTATCCTCTTATTGAAATTTTAAGGAATACTGGGGATAACTTTGTGTCAGTGACTATCATAGGTGGGGAGTGTTATTTGCCAATCCCCCTTCCTTTATTGTCACTCCTCAGTTATATAGTTTCAACCAAGCCTTATTGATTTATTAGGTTTGTCATTGACTTTATTGAGGTTGAAACAGTTTATTATTTAATCAATAGATTTAGTGGCTCTGTAAAGTCTCAAGCATCATGTTGGAGAGCTGAAGAAAGCATGCCCGCCCCTGTCCTCATGCGTCCTGTTTAATTCTTAGACAAATTTGTAACCAAATAATCCAAGGAATGAGCCATGATCACTGAGGTGTTCCTAAGTTGTAGTAGAGAGAGGGAGAAGTATCATACACCTGCGAAGGTAAGTCAAATGTGGAATCAAATTCAGCTGAAACTTAATGAGAAACAGCATTGTGTCAGGTAGACCAGGGAAGGGCTCTCCAGGTAGAGGGAATAGCAACAGGGTCATAGAATCAGACGACAGTGAGCTTTTTTAGGAAATAAGCAATTGAATGTGACCAAATAAAAGCATGGAGGCAAATAAAAGTATGGAGGTGGATGATGAGTCTTTGAGCCAAAGGGACCTAAAGAACCTAGATTCATTCTGGTAGCAGTGATACATGGAAGAGTGTGCAGCAGGAAAATGTGATCAGCTTTGCATTCTGGAAAAAGAGTTTTTCTCTGGGATGTAGGGAGAGAGGCGTGAGCACCGTGAGCAGAAGACTCAGGAGGAAGATGTGGCAGTGAGCCCCATAGTTGAGTCTAGCTTATGATGGTAGACAGACCAAAGAAAGATTCAAGATCAATAGAGGGGATTTTGGTGGCTGGATATTCAGGACGGGGGGAAAAATAGAGTCATCTTTGAGGAGGCTGGTATTTCAGGAAATGTGTTGGCTGTCCTCACTTGATTTTCCCAGGAATCTGTCTCTGGGTCTGCATACTATTTGGAAGTGCGGCATGCTTTGCCCAGACTTGCAGTCACAGGCATTCAGAGCCATGCTCTGGCTTCTAGCTTTGCCCCCGGCGGGCCTCTTTGCATCTGTACAAATCTTTGAAAACTTTTATTGTATTATCAAGAAAAACCCAGTGATTCCTCCTTTAAAAAAAAAAATCAAAGGCTGTTCGTGACATAAAAGCCAACGCACTCCTTGGATTATAAAGGAGCTAGATTGCAGTTAATTATTCTCTCTTACATAATCTGTGGGTTCACAGGCAAGTGCTATTCATTTTTCTTAAACTCTATGAATGAAAGATTAGAAAAAAAATTCTCCAGTTGGAAACATTTGAGCCCCACCTCATTGCTGTAAGCAACATCTTTCACAGCAGTGATAAAGAGAGGGTTTTTATGGGAGCGTAAACACACGTCGTTTTTTTTTTTTCCCAGCTGGTAAATAGGCTGTCTTTTGCACAATTCCAGAGCAACAATACCCAGTGTACCTGTCTGTTACAGAATTTGGCGTTCTGTGACCCAAAGGGGAAGCCGCCTGCAGAGTTGGACAAAGATGACTCTATTGTGACAAGCTTTCTCTGTTAAATTAAAGGTTAGAGGATAGGAAATGGCTTTGAATAACTGTGGAGAAAAGCAAGAACTGGATATGACTGCCTATGTGAGCTTTCTATTTTTGTGGAGTTCCTAGCAGCTTATGAGAAGAGACTATCAAAGCCCAAGTTAAACTCGAAGGGGCTTGTGAATATTTGAATGATAAGGAATTGAAACATTGCACAATGCAGGTATTAAAAAGTTTCCTGGAGTTCTATTAACATTTATGTCAAATATATATTGCTTCTCAGGCTTTTTGACAAATAGAAAATAGTCATACAGATGATCACCTTTAATTAGAATGTGATTAGTCCAGATTTCCTAGACTTGGGCATGCTAGAGGCAGAGAGAACCTTGGAAATCTGTTCCTGATTAGCTCATTTAACAGACGAATAAGCTGAGACATGATAATGAAGTCTTATACGGGCTAACAATGGACTATAGAGATCCCTTTGTATAGACTCTAGAGCGAGGCTGGTGGAAGGGTATTACTGTCTTGTCCTGGATCCAGTACAGAAGAGAACCAACAGAAAAGAATGTTAGGTGATCAAATCATGGTAACTATTTGAATGTTAATTCCATGAAGGCTGGGGCTTATGTATCTCTAGGTACTTAGCACCAAGCGAAGTGTCTGTCATTCAGTTAAAACTCATGGAATAAAAAACAAACTTATGTATATCTAGAAAAATGAACATGGTGGCAATCTTCAGACATTGGAAGCACTGTCATATGACAGAGGAAAGAATGATAAGGCTTAATCTGCATGGTTTCAAGTACTAGACTTTATTCAAATGCTTGAAACTAGAAAAAATATAGCTTTTGATTTGATATAAAGAAGCTTTGGCTTTTGTTTTAATAGTGGAGCTGCCCAAAAATCAAATGAGATTCCATAGGAGAAATCCAAATAAAGTTTGGCAGAGATTTGGTACAATAATTTAAGTCAGGTAATTCTTCGGCATAGGTAAGATTAAATTCCCCTCAAGACCAAAACTGGATGAGTCTATGATAAGTGACTGCCCAAGTATTGGTTTGTTGGTACAGAGTTAAGGCAAGATTTCCATCTCCTGACTCCCAGTCCAGTGTGATGTCACAAAGCCACGCTATTTGAGGAAATTGTCAAATTTGTTAAGATAGGAAAAGAGAGAATTCAAAGACTTATAAAAGTACACAAATGAAGGTGATTAACTTAATGATTAAGGTGTTGGGACAATAAAACTCTAGCTTTTAGTAATTACCCATCATTTAAAACTTCACATTAATTTTTAATGTGCTGTTATTTGATTCAGAAATGTTTTGAATAATCTTAGCATTAAATAAACAGGAAAGCTTGACAAATATAGTAAGTCAATATTTTATCGTGAAGTTGTTTTAAAGTAAATTGTATAATGAACTTAATTGTAGGCAGAATCTTAAAGATGACACCCAAGATTTCCAGCCCAATCAGTGAGACTGTGAATATAAAATATCACATACCTGATTATGTTAAGTTACCTGGCAAAAGGGATTTTGCTGATGCAATTAAGGTTACCAATCAGTTGGCTCTGGGTTTATTAAAAGAGAATTTATCCAGGTGAGCCTATTCTCATCACACGAGACCCTTAAAAGCTGGATTTTCTCTGGCTGTAGGCAAAAGGGGAAGGCAGAGGAACTAAGAATGTTTTCTAGGAGCTAAGAGTGATCCCTGGTAAATGGGCATCAAGAAAGCAGGGACCTTGATCCTGGAATTTCCATTCAATAGAATTGCCAAAGAATACAATCCAGCCCACAGTTAACTTCTACCCTACAGAACTCGGAGATCCTGAATGGGTCTTGTTTAAAGCTGCTCTATTTTCTGGGAACTTGTTATGGAGCAAGGAGAAAACTAAAACAGCAGATGAAGGGTAGTAACTGTATTCCATTACAATGATAAGTTTTAGGGTTCTAAAGACTGAGTCTGCTTTTATTATCTCCAAAAATGAAAATAAAAATTGGGTAAACAAAATGGAAATTTTAACTGGCTAGATAACCACCAATAAACATCTCATGATCCAACTTTGTTTTTTACTGAAATCTCAGTTTTGTACAATCGGATTTTGGAGATGGAGTGTTTTGATACTTGCTTATTCCTGCCAGAAAATCATTTTAATATTCCCATCAGGATTTGTTATAGGGTGCGTCATTTCAACATTTCAGAAAAGAGTATGATGTTATGGTTTTCTCCTCTGAATAAAGGGGATGCTGCTACTAGCCTCCAGATTCATGGGATATCATACCTAAAATTATAAGGCCTGGCAGGTCCAGTCACAAATCAAACAGCAAGCATGACGTTCTGGGCTACATGCTTTTTAGAATGTGGCCTTATTTATCAAAGTAGAAAGTACTGAAACCACAGACAGCATTTCTCAGGTTGTGGTATGTATTTAATTTGTATTTTCATGGAGAAAACTGTTCTGGCAAGTCTTAAATAATTGCTCCAAACAATGTCTGTTTTCTGCATCTCACTGTGACACAAGGGGAGGGACCAGGTTGAAAGGTTGGTGTTAAATGTTTGTTTGTAAATATATTACTTAGTAAATTGTTAACTAGATTTACTTGCTTCAAGTACACAGAAGGGATTCTGCTCTCCATATGAGTGTGATTTGGAAGACAGATATTACTAGAAATTGCTTATGTGTTCTGAAGCGTCTCTGGTCCTATTCAATAAATCATTTTGTCAGCTCAAACTCTGTGATTGATTAGAAAGAAGAATGCATCAAAATGATTCACTGAGAGGAGATTGTAATCTGACTATTTTACTGGAGTTATATATGATTCTGTTTATAATTTTCCCTTTTTCTCAGCAGAGAGACTAAAGAGCTTTCTGTAGTTTTCCACCTTAAATAAAACCCATGTCATGTGGTGTTTCCCCCTTGGTGATCTTATGGCACAAGTTTAAGCTGGGCAGATATCATTTAAATCCTAATAAAAGGAAGGCTTTTATATGATGTATCCTAGCGCTAGTGTGGGGAAGCTTGATCCTTTTTCTGGCCAATGACAGTTGGTTTTTGCACCAACAGCTCTGCACCCAGTAAACCTAATATCCACTGGCATATTTTATTTCTTTTCTTAAATGATTTTTAAAAAATGAAGTTAAAAGAATAATAGAATGCCTCAGAAGTGGAATATATAAAATCTAGTGACTAATTGTTCACTTCCTCTATAAATAGTGTCCTGTCTACTAAGAATGGCCTTTAAATATAGAAGGTGCTTAGACTTCTGTCATTGAACTTCATGTGAGAATACCAATCAGTCACCTCATATGGAAAATATGGACACTCTCTGGAGCTGTCAAATGAGAAACCATGGGCTGAATATGCAAATTGCCTTTCTAACTATAGCAGTCCTCTTCTATAAAACACACTTCTTTCTAAGAAAATTTAAGACACCCATTTATTTCAGAGGGACACATTTATTTTCCGCGAATCTCATTTTTATCTGGATTGTCAACATGTTTCCTCGCTCCTGTAGGAAAATCGAAACAGTTTGGCTTTTTGCTGGCTTATTCATTTATTTTGTTGCAGTTTGTTTTCCTTAAGATTATAACTTTCTTTCTGGAATATAAGTCTGTCAGAATTTAAAAAAAAAAAATAGGAGTCTGTGCAGTGCTGTGTATAAGGGAGCAAACCAGCAGGTGGATTGAGTTCAATACTGATCTGTCGCCTAAGGGCCTGGGTCACGTTGAAAAAGTTACTTAGTTTTTCCCAATCTCGGCCTTTTTTATTTTAAAATGGTTATAACAAGTGTCTATTGTTGTTGAGAGATTGGAGAGAAATCATGTGTTAGCACAATGTCTTAAGTTATTGCCACTATGGAATGCAGATAATAAGTTAGCATTTTAAGCTGGCTTTCTGAGTGCGCAGGCACATTAGGCCACTGACTCAACCTGGAAACATCAGGCACTCACATATCTTTCTTTCTTAAATTAGTCAAATGATTACTTATTTCTCTTTCTGTGGGCAGAGTATTTGGTTTTTATAGCTTTGGAAGGACACTGGAGGGAGGGGTTACTTTAGATATGACTCCAAAGGACCTTTTTATGTACCCTACTCAGGGTTTTCTCCTGCTGGTAACTATGTATATTTACAATCGTAATTGCATATTCTTTTGAGGGCTAATAACTTTGTAGGGTTGATTGTATGGTATTTGAAATTATAAGTATATACTTGATTTTTGTTGCATTTAACAAATTTAGATTACCTTTTAAGAATACCCAGATTTTGTAAGTATTTGTATTTTTATAGTGCTTTCAATCTGTTTACTTATAGTCCGGATTGGGTGATGCAGTGTAGTGAAAAGAGCTTTTAAAACAAGAGTTAGGTATTTTAATCCTATTTAAGGCTCCCACATTGATTGCTTCCATCCCTTGAGCAAGCTGTTTTGTTTCCTTTGCTCCAGCTTCCTGGTAAAGGTCATCTGAAAGACCCAATCTCTTTTTATAAATCCATGTGAAAATTTGAAAAACAAACTAGTTAGTGAAAACTTGGAAGGTTTAACATTTTCAGATATGCCTTCTTAAAGGGCACATTTTGGGATTTCCTGAATAGTTTTCAGGAACGTAATATTTGGTTGGGAAGAGTGAATCCCAGATGGATAATGTGAGTGATAGTTGAACTTCTGATAAAATAAAGTAGAACATAACCTGGGAGTGAAGAGCATGCAGACTTTCTTAGGGCATATGTTTTATGTCTGTAGTAATGCAGTTAAAGTTAGCATCAAAGTGTTGGGAAATTTTAGAGTAGCTCCAACTGCAATGTTACAGATTGCCGTTGTATGAAAACCTCACCAAGCAAAGCATCATAAAACTCAAGTGCTTTCCACTGTTTCTCAGCTTTTGCCCATTTTTCCCTATTTCTCTGTTATTCTTCCTCAAGGTTATGTGAGCATTTCCTGACTTTGGACTCACACTTTATTTTTAGTCTGTTCTGTCTTACAAAGTCTGCAGCGTACTGTCTTGTGGTTCTCTGACAGTTCAGAGTTATAGTAGAAGTACCTTGTTTGGGAAATTTTTGCATTTGATTTCCTACTGCAAATAATAAAATGCCAATTATTCTACATAATTATTATTTATAGCACTTAAAACAGTCCGGCATATAGGGGCCCAATCAATAGTCGATTGGTAGTAAACAAATGAAATCAATAACAAAATAGAATTCTCCAGTCAGTCAGTCATTCACAGGTACATCCCCTCACAAACTTTGATGGAGTGCCTAATATATACAACACACGGTTTAATGCCTCAAATACAAAAGTGTGTGCCACTGTCCCAGCTCTTTAGGAACACACGGTATAGTAAAAATTTTGTGGAACCCGCAACTAAAGCTTAAAATAGATTCAAAATAATATTTTAGCATAGGGGATGCAGAGAATAATTCTGCCATGGTTGGGGAGTAGGGGTAGTGAATATTCTGCACTGGGTGTGTAACAGTTGAACTGAACCTTGCAAAACCAGGAAGAGCTTAGTAGGCAGAGAAGAACGAATGGTTACTCATGTATAACTAATGTCTTGTGCATAAAGAATGGCATTTTGTAAAGTAAGTATGAAATGTTCAGACATAAGAAGAAAAATTTGCCAGTTCATTGTTTATAAACTTTTTTTTATTGTAACCATTTGGAATGGTTACGATGGAACCAGTTAAAAGAGTGTAGTATGATTATTAAATTTGTTTTTTAGAAATATAACTTTGATGTGGCTGGGCTTTGGGAGTGGACTGGAAAATTAGAACCTTGGACAGATCCAGGCCGGGTGGGAGACTGTTGAAGTATCATAGACCTGTCAGCGGAGATGGAAACAACTATTTTGAAGGTCAAATGAACAAGGATCACTGCCCCATTCAGTAAGAACATTGAGGGCAAAAGAGAAATTTCTTTTATTTTCAAAGAATGAAACTTCTAAATTTAAGGCAGACAAACTGAACCTGAGAAATTTTTGTTTAATGAATGTCGAGATGAAAGAGATGGGTTTTTAGGTGAACATGTCTTCAGTTTATGCCCATGTTACATTAATAATAGAAGGGTGTATGAGAGGAAATAGCCCATAGCCTTTCATGTTAGAAAACATAAAACACTTAGTAGATATTTGTGAAGGATGTCTTCTTTATTTCAGAGCCATACCAGATATCCCTCTCATAGTGCACAGATTTTTTTTTCTTTATATCACTTCTGTCGGTATGACATTATGTCCATGTGTCATGGTTTAATGGACACATATTGTCAACACTGAGCTTCATTCTTTTGTGCACTGGTGTTTCCCTGGTGCCTTGAATAGTGTCTGGGACAAAGTCAGAGGCCAAGATGTAGTAATGCTGAACCAGTGGTTGAATGGACAGATGACTTCTTTTCAAAACTATCTTTGGCTGAATTAATTGCTTGTGATTTTATAATGTACGTTGGAACAGAGTCAAATAAAATTTGTTGATCATAAAAGAGCATGTCTATGGCAGTGTTATATTGTGGAAGGGTCATAGCCTAGGGAGTTAGAGAGACCCTGTCTGATCTCCAGTTTATACTACCCAAGTCTCTGTTTCATCATCTGAATAGGACAATAAAACTTTATAGAGTAGTCGGGAGTATTTAAAAATAATCTATAGAGTAGGTTGCACAGGGCATTTCTACTCATTAAATGTAATTTAATTTTTAGTTATGTGGACTTCACTAAATGGCTTGACTCTGTGTTGTGGCAAGAATAATCAAAGATTAGCTCTCTTTTTTATTTTATTATTTTTAATGTGCTCTACTTCAAAAATGAAACAGTGCAGTTCTGTGAAATGATTTAAGCAAAGTGAAATCAGAGACTATCTTTTGATACCATTTCTGTTTTCTTTTAGTAGTAATACAGATTATTCATTAACGTACATTTATGTACCTAAAGAAAGGAAAATAACATTTGAAAAAAAAATACTAAACACGGTTTGATCTTAGTTGTATATCTTAACCTCCTGCTCCCCACAGGGTAAACATCCTAAGATTGACTGCAATCAAGACTGTCTTGTGAAACTAAAGAGAATACCTGGTATTTGCTGAACTACTTTCATGTTTTGATTTGAGGAAATTACTACATCTTTGTTGTTATGTTACAGATCTACTTACGCTTCTTGGACTATGAGATGCAGAATTCAAATGAATGCAAAAGGAACTTTGTGGCTGTGTATGATGGCAGCAGCTCGGTGGGGGACCTGAAGGCAAAATTCTGCAGCACCGTGGCCAATGACGTCATGCTCCGCACGGGCCTTGGGGTCATCCGCATGTGGGCCGATGAGGGCAGTCGGAACAGCCGATTTCAGATGCTCTTCACATCCTTTCAAGAACGTAAGATTCTCTGCACTTGACTGTCCTTCAGTAGGTCCTAGGCTCCAAGTCCCATCAGCTGCTAATGGTAAACACCATTGGTAATGGTAAACTCCATGCAGTGTGAGCACACTAGGTGTGTCTAACCAGTTCTTAAAATCACTGAGATTCCCTTTCCTTCATTTTGGCCCAGTGACAGGAGAGAGTTACATAACACATTTTGACGACCTGTTTCGGCACAGGCGTCATAGCCTTGTTTAAGACAGCTCACTGTTCAACCGGGAAATGATGATTTTGTCTTTGGTTTAGCTCTTATGAAGCATATGGAACTTGAGCAGCTTCTGATGAAGTTTGAGTTTAAATCTGAAAAACCTGCATAAAAATATTTGGTAGGTTCTCTTTAGTAAGCTTCTCTTGCAGTCCCATTTATTGCAAATAGGTCTGAGATGATAGAGTTCCAGTTAAAGTAGGCAAAGAGTAAGAATTGCTTGGGAAGAGGGTAAATAGAAAAAGTTGCAGAAAATATTTAAAATGGCACAATGGGTGATATCCAGAGTTATGTGCAAAGCACAGCAATTTTAGAAAATTATGTTCTAACAAATAATGAGTCATATTAATAGATATATTTGGAATGTTCTTTAGAAACCCTGAATAACTCATGTTTAATAATTTTATACAAATGAAAAAAATCCTGAAAAATTCAGTTTTAGGAAATCAGCACCTTGCATTTTAAAACTACATGTTTATTAAATAGAAAAATAATGTGTTTGAAACTTCCAGGATGTCTCAGTGATATGCACAGCATGCAATATTTTTTTCGGTTCATAAATATTAAATATACTGGACAATTCTTTTATATAGTGAAGAGTTTTGGCTTGAAATTCCTCTCTAATTACCCAGTTGGAGAGTTCTAGAACACCGGAAGTACCAAATATCACTCAGTCTTTCTAAATCTTGATACCATCATGGAGCGCATTATCGCGCCGTGTTATTGCAGATTTAAGCAGCATGTTGCCATCCTGTTCTCATTTCGGTAGATGATCAAAATGAAAGAGGTAGTGCATCTTTATTTCAGCAAGATATTGCCCCCCCCCAAAAAAATCTTGTTGTTTTCTTGACTAGAGTAGGAAGAAATCCAAGCTATGAGATAGCACATTTCATGTCCTCACTGCCGATTGCTCCACAGTGGACAGTAGCTCTTGACTTTGGTGGGAGGTTAAAAGTGCTTATTCCATATTCTTAATCAGTCTTGGGTGATAATATGTTGAGAACTCCTGTCTAATTTAAATGCTACACATATAGAAGGGCTAGCTTATATGTTAGAGAATATTATCAGGTTTTTAAAAATATCAGAAAAGTCTTCAATTTTTATCAAAACTGTACCGTAAAAGGTAATAGGGAGAAAATGAAATTATATATTCTTAGGTTTCAAATATCAACTAAAACAACAGTAGTATAGAAGAACCCTGACTCCTAGGACTTCCTGAAGTTTCATTTCATTCAAACTCAGTATGCACCAGTACTTTTTTTTAAATAATTGACAAAAAATATCTTAGCAGTATTAAATGATATTAAGGAAATTGAAATAAACAACTCAAAGGAGATAGTCTCGTGGGAAGCTACACTGGTCAAACTGCGGATTACATAATCTGTTCTTTCCTGGGTTTTATGAATGAATGAGAAGGAGAGAAATCAATTGGAAGAGACTGAGCAGGATGCAGAAGCAACTAAAGACATGAGACCAGGCCAAAGGAGAAGTGGTTATCTTAGAGATTTTGTTGTTGTTGTTCAAAATGTGATAACTACCTTAGACTTACATTGGTGACATGGATTAATGTCTGAAAGCTGAGATTTGTTTGCTAAATTATAGGGAAATGTCTGAGTGAAATTTAGGAAAAAACATGTCCAGCTCATAGGAACAGTGATTTTCTAAAAATGAATGGATGCCACATAGAAGATATAGGCTCTGGATGGAGAGTGATGAGTCTGAAAATGGATCATCAAGTGGCGTGGATGGTGGAGAGAATGTCTGTGTTTTGTATGGAAAGGACTGGTAAACTTTGAAGGTCCCATTCAACTCTAACAGTGATTGAGTTCTAGGAGTCTTTTTATTTATTTATTTATTTATTTATTTATTTATTTTTAAATTTTATTTTATTATGTTATGTTAATCACCATACGTTACATCATTCGTTACTGTTGTAGTGTTCCATGATTCATTGTTTGCATATAACACCCAGTGTTCTATGAGTCTTTTTAAAATTCTGCTTATGCAAGAAATGGTGAATTATATCATACTGTGCAAATGCTATTAGAAATATTTCTATCTGAGCTAAAAGATAGAGTTGTCATGCATATACATAAAGGATCTCTAGAAGTCCTTCAAGTGGGTGGACTTTCCAATGTTGAATTCAGAAAAAAACACGGCGTTCTTCCTCTGTAGGAGGAAATCACCCCCATCCTTTATGTTCCTGCACAGTGAGATGGATTATCACTCTCATTTCAATGATAAGTATTACGATAGCGTTCTCTGTGATTATCTCATAAATTTTACAATAAGCTTCAATTAGAACAAATTTATCTGCTGTGTCATGTTGCCTATGTAGCTTTTTGACATTCTGCTTTTTCTTGCTTTTTGGGGGGGCTAAAACTGGGTGGAATCTGCCATTGTCTATGCATAAGATCAAAGTCATTGTGTGATGAAGTATGTGGGGATGGACTAAGTCTTTCTGTATTGATATCAAAGTATCCCAGATATGAGATGATAATTCCAAAACAACAAGAACTGAACTTCAATCAGTGCTACTATTCAGAAATGAGTGGCTATGTCATTTTAAGGGCTCTTAATGAAGAAATAAAGGAATTCTATTTAGGGAGTTTCAAGTTCCCCGGATGGTATTGTTTTATTCGATATTGGTGGCTAAGAGAGTATTTTTCATTACATTTTTGTTTTTCTTGATGATGATAGGTATAAAGTTTATATAATATATATTATATACAGGGGAGCCTGGGTGGCCTCGTCGTTAAGCATCTGCCTTTGACTCAGGTCATGATCCCACGGTCCTGGGATCGAGCCCCGCATCAGGCTCCCTGCTCAGCGAGAAGTCTGCTTCTCCCTCTCCCACTCCCCCTGCTTGTGTTTCTTCTCTCGCTTTGTCTCTCTGTCAAGTAAATAAATAAAATCTTTAAAATACATATATATATATATATAATATGTATATATAGCTTATGTATAATATAATTATATAAACATATATAATATTCATATTTAATGTATATTTCTCTAATCTTACTCCATACACACCCACACACATATGGAGTAAAGATTAGAAGTGTGAAATCAATGACCAACTTTGTCTTACTCAAGCAATAAGGAACCACCTTGCTGTTTTTCTTGGTTCCTTGATATTTTTATTGGTTCTCAACATTTATTAGGTAGTATCCCCAGCCCAGTGTTGAGAAGTACTTATAGCATATTCAACAATATTCTAATATCTATCAAAAGGTCTTGTGTTGGGACCATATGATGTAATTTTTTGAGTATAATTGACACCCAATGTTACATTAGTTTCAGGTGTACAACTTAGTGATTTGATAAGCTTACACATGATGCTGTGTTCACCACAAGTGCAGCTACCATCTGTCCCATTACATCCCTGTTATGGTATCAGTGACTATATTCCTTATGCTATGCTTCTTATTCCGTGACATTCCATAACTGGAAACCTGTATCTCCCTCTTTGCCCATTTTGCCCAGCCCCCAACCCCTCCCTATCCATTTATTCTTTGTATTTATAGGTCTGATTCTGCTTTATGTTTGTCATATTTTTAGGTGTTAAAGGAGAGCTTAGGGACCATCTATTTCAGTCCCAAACATTTTGTGAATTGAAACAAAATAAGAAAAGATCCAGGAAGTTAACTGAATTTCCCTGCACACCCTCAACTCCATGCTTAGTGATTGAGCACTACTGTGGCAAGGATTAAAAACCAGACTCCTAAGCTCATAAGTTCTCTTGTGGATAACTTTGTCACTTGTAAAGAATGGACAGAGCTCCCATTCTCTAAAGGTGATGATGATAAAGATGGTGTTAACAATGGGTAGCACTTATACATCACTCAGAGAGCTCAGATATGTCGGCACTGGTCTCTATGCTTTACGAACTGAAATTTGATCCTTCTGTCTTATCTGTTGCACCTTATGTCTACATGTTATATGAACATGCTATGATCACACAGCACATGAACATGCTAGGATCACACAGTACACCACTTTCATATGACCTACAAGATTAGATGGTAGAAAAATTATAATAAGGGACTTCTAGTCTGGAACATACTAATCTGGAGACCAATGGAGGCAAATAGAAATATATTTTCAAATCATCGTATTTTTGCATATGTATCTGAATAAATTACAGAAAAGGGAAAGAATGTGTAGAGGGAGAGGAGAGAAAGAATCTCAAGCAGACTCCCTGCTGAGCGTGAAGGCTGATGTGGGGCTTGATTCCATGACTATGAGATCATGACCTGAGCCAAAATCAAGAGTTGGTTGCTTAACTGACTGTGCCGCCAGGAGCCTCCGAGTCACTTTTTATAAGTCATTGATTTTGCTCTAAATAACAACTAAATTTTTTAGAAATTTGATTATAGTTAGTATAATTTCAATATTAAACATACTTAATATGTGAAAATTCATAACCAATTATGATGGAACTGTATAATACACATAATGGAACTATTAGTGAAATGTGTTCAAATTGAGCTGCCTCCCAAACTTTTTGAGCTTTTTCTGTGTGACGTACCTTTGCAAAAAGTAGAATGGATGAATAACATAAGTAATATCTAGTTTTGACTTCTGAAAGTCTGTCTTTAGCTGCTCTTCTTTCATTTAAGAGGTTTTGCACAATAAAATCTTAATCACTTAATACTTATTTAATGAATAGCATATTTCTGTTAAAAACAGACATGTAAAGGGGATGCCTGGGTGGCTCAGTTGGTTAAGCGCCTGCCTTCGGCTCAGG